ACTCTGAGCTCTTCGGCTACAAAACGTCCACGCGTCGCCATAGCTGTTCACTTCTGTGTTCTGTGCGTACATCCTGTGTCACTAATAGTTTGCATTCTGCGTTTATTTACATTATTTACAAATTAACTGGACGGCGCGTTCTGTCTGAGCTTATAATTAAAGGTACTAAAAGAATCACGAGAGCCAATATGTCCTATATTGTTTCTGTTCTATCGTGGCCGAGATACGGAGACCAGACTCATGTCGTAGCGAATCGAACAAGAAGAAGGTTTATTCGTTACGTACTCTCTTTATATAGCCGCTGCTATCAGGGCGATGACGTCATGTTGCTGACGTCAGGGTAGCGTGTTTATCAATACATGACACTCTTCCCTCCTTAACAAAACAAAGGTTCGCAAATTAATCTAGGCTACTTGGCCTTCGCTCTGTAATCATCGGCTTGGTACTTGTCGGGAGGTCGCCGGGTGCGGTTGCTTCGCCGCGGTGCCGGTGCTTCACCTTGAACCCTTCCGGCGGTGGACGTCGCTTCTCCGGCGTTTCCTGGAGCGGTTTCCTGAGCCCCATGGGAGTCTGCAACGCCTTGAAATGAGGTTGCTGGTGATGACCTCCTCTTGCTTTCGGCTTGGCCATCGGAGTACGGTGATCCCTTGTTGAGAGGTTGGGGTTCTTGTGCTGATGATGGGGCACGGTCGTGCAGCTCTTCAACTGCAGAACTGGCCTCTGTTGGCTGGCTGTTCTTCCAAGGGTTGCGTTGATCATCGGGTCGGCTGTCCGAAATCGCTGTAACGTGTTGACCTGGTGTAAAAGGTGGTCTCGGTGCAATACACCATCGTTTCCGCAAGTGGTCAGCATGGGTGAATCGCACGTTGTCTTTTACTCTGACGAGGTACGTAGCGGGGCTGGCGACTTGTTCGACGATTCCCTCCTGCCATGATTCGGCTTCGCCTCGCGTTGTTTTGACGTAAACCTTCTCATTGACGCAGAAGAACTCCGCTGGCTCTCTTTGCTGGTTGAGCTGGTCGGCGCTCCTTTGTTGACGGTCTGCCATGTCACCTGCAAAGCATGGCTTGAGCAGAGACAACTTTATGCGAGGCACTCGGTTTAGGAAGAGCTCCGCTGGAGTCTTTGCCGTCACTGAGTTTGGCGTGCACCTGTACGACAACAAGAAATCGTTAAGGCGCTCTTGTGTTGTGCGCTTCACTACTGCTGAGTTGTCGCAAAGAACTTGCTTGAGCAGCGCTGTCTTCGTGGTTCGCACCAGTCTTTCAGCGGCTCCGTTCGATGCAGCGTGGTAGGGAGGTGTCCTCGTATGCATGATACCGCGGTGTTGCAGGAACTCCTAAAACTCGTCCGAGGTAAACTGTGGGCCGTTGTCAGTTACAAGTTCCTCCGGATAGCCGTAGGCAGCGAAGAGTGTGTCTAATTTCTGGGCTGCCTGCGCACTTGTCGTTTAACTCATGCAAAAAACTTCGATCCACTTGGAGTAAGCGTCGACCAGCACGAGCAGGTTAACTTCATCTTTGAGTGCGTAGTCCGCGTCAACGCGTTGCCACACTCTGGTCGGATAGGGCCACGGCTGCAGTGGACCGGGAGTTTTCGCTGGGAGGACGCTTTGGCAAATACGACAAAGGCGAACCGTGTCTTCCACTTCCTTGTCGAGAAGAGGCCACCAAACGTAAGACCGGGCTAACATTTTCATCCGAGTCATACCTGGGTGGGCTTCATGTAGTAGAGTGAGCACGTGTGCTTGCAAGGTCTTGGGAATGATGACCCGATGTCCCCAAGTCAAACATCCTCCTTCCACTGACAGCTCGTCCCTACGCACGAAGAAGGCTTGCATTTCTTCGGGATACTTTCTTGGCCACCCCGACAGCGTGTAGTTGATAACTGTCGTGAGGACCAAATCACGCTTTGTTTCCCTCGCCACTCGTTGGGCGGTGAGCGGCATTGCGTCGAAAACAGCTAGACATTCTGGATCGTCATCCTTGTCTTTCGCCGCTAGTGTTTGCCGTGATAACGCATCCGCAACTTGCATGCACAACGCCTGCGCTCGAAGCCTTCTAAACTTCGTTCATACCGCCGGCCTCCCCGCTTTCCTTTAATTCCTTTCCCACTTAGGCCTGCGGGCCTTTCCTCTGGGCAATAAACAACAACAACAACAACTTGCATGTTGTGGCCGTTCCGGAACTTGAGCTTGTACTGATATGCGGAAAGTGTTACAGCCCATCCTTGGATTCTAGCGGCTGCTAGTGTTGGAATTGGTTTGTCCTGTCCTAGAATGCCCATACAAATACCGGTGAAATCTTTTCAGACCAAAAATAATAGCAAGCGCTTCCTTCTCTCTTTGCTCATAGTTACGTTCACTGCTTGTGAGAGTGCGCGAGGTAAACGCTATCGGCCTTTCACTTCCGTCCTGCATTTTATGAAAAATCACAGCTCCCAGACCGTACGCAGATGAATCACAGCTGAGACCGATGGGGTTGGTTGCGTCAAAGATTGTGAGCGCATCACTGTTGATGATCATGTCTTTCGTGGCTTCGAAAGCTTTCCTGCACTGTTTTGACCAGCGCCATTTTTGCTTTTCCTTCAGCAGTGAGTAGAGGGGCTCGACCACCGTTGCAAAACTTCTTAAGAACTTGGCGTAGAAGTTCAAAAGGCCCAGATAGGCTCTCAGTTCTGTGATGTTTGTTGGCTCGGGTGCGTCTCGGATTGCCTCGATTTTTGTCGATGTCGGGTAGATGCCTTCGGCCGAAACCTTGTGACCCAAGTAAACAACTGAGTCGCGAAAGAATTCACATTTTTCTTCCTTGAGCGTGATGTTATAGTCTTTTAGCCGTCGCCAAACTTTTGTGACTGTGTTGTAGCAGTCTTGCTTGCTACTGCCCGCGACGATAACGTCGTCTATGTAGCATCCTACGTTAGGGATGCCTTCCAGGATCTTGTCCATCAGTGCCCTGAAAATTGCGGGTGCACTGGAGATTCCAAACGGAAGTCTCTGATATTCAGAGTCCCAAGTGCGTGTTAATCGTGAGCAGGGGCTTGGCTTCTGCACTTAGTGGCACCTGCTGGAAAGCGGAGGACAAGTCCAAAACGCAAAAGACCTTGCCACCAGCAAGCATGGAGTAGAGGTCTTCCGGCAGCGGTAGCGGGTAGCAATCAGTCTTTAGTACTTGGTTTATGGTCACGTTATAGTCTCCGCAGAGCCTTATTCCTCCGCCGCGTTTGGAACGACGGCTACAGGAGTCGCCCAGTCACAGTGGGTCACTCGTTTCACGATGCCGTCGTTTTCTAACCTGCGTAACTCTGCCGCAACGGCTTCTTTGGTTGCGAATGGTATAGGCCTCGCTTTGCAGTACACTGGTGTGCTGTTCGCTTTTAGGACGACCTTTGCCTCGTAGTTGGACACAACTCCAGGTGTGCTACGGAAGACTTCTTGAAACTTCTCCTTTTGAGATTTGACTTTGTCTTCCTCTGTTACTGCACAGACGGCCTTCCAATCAAGTTGCAACTCTTCTAACCAATCGCGACCTACTAGTGCCGGCAGAGTTCTTTGGTTATCTTCTACCACGAAAAGAGGAAGCGTTGCGCTGCGTCCGTTGTGCTCTACGTTGACAGCTGCCTTTCCTTTTATCTTCAAAGGTTCTCCAGCGTATGTTCTCAAAGAAACCTTTGTTGGTTTGCATGCGACTTCCGCGAAGTTCGCCTTGAAGACGCTTTCAGGAATCAGCGTAACTGCTGCGCCCGTGTCCAGCAGCATAGAGATCGGCTTCCCTTCAATGTTTACAGAAACCTTGTACCCACGCTTGTCGCTTGCTGCACAGAGCACGACCATAGAGTTATTATAATAAACGCTAGAGGCTCAGCTGGCGCTAGTGTCTACGGGACTTCCGGTTGCAAATTGAAGCAGACAGCATGCAGTCTACTTTCCCAGTCTTCCTGTGTATTCCTATGGGAAAACGCGCGTGAATTTTGTCTCGTCGCCGGAAAATGACATGAATAACTTTTATTATTTTGGGTGTACCGGATAGTATGTACCTTTATTAATATTGTCAAAGTGTAATTGCTTTAGTTACAGCATTTTTTCTTAACCACTGAACGATGTTAAACTTCGCTATATTTCAGGCGCAAACCTCTATTCCATGGCAGGTATGTAAAAACGAGCGACGATTCTAAGCAAAATAACAATGGAAAGGAATGTAGAGTCTGTTCTAAGTTCGCCAGCATTCCGTTGGTGCTTATATATTGCTAATATGCCTGTCCTCTCACTATGTATATGAAAATGACCCCGTCGCGCATATTTACGAGTGGTTAAAAAAGGTTCGAAACGTAAAGAATAAAGTACGTGGGCTACGAAAGGTGTGTTTTCTTATTATTTCCTATGTTGGGCAGTTTTTATCGCGCGCCCGTTCTCTGGCTTCCCCCTATTTGCAAAGATTTGGAGCATGCGGGTGATGATTTGAACACAGAACAAGCATCTTCGCACATATTCACGAGCAAGAAGCATAAAGCAGTACTTATTTATTGCAAATCGGACTATATTACACAACTTTCAATTTATTGTGATCGTCCGCATGCAGAGTTACTGATCCAGTGTTACTGCGTAGTTCTTGCCGTCTCTCTTCGTTTTCCACATGTTCTTCGTTCGTTTAGCACGTATATCCCCCAATGCTGGAAAGCGCCGACGCCGTGTTCGCGCTAACAGTGTCCGACAGTGCACAAAAATACATGTACGAAGCGGTTTTAGCACCGTTTTTCATGCCACGATTTTAAAGCAAAAACGCCATAACTGACCAATTATTTCATCTGCGCATCAGGGAAATGTTCCAATGTGCCTAGTAGGTACGATTTATTCGTGATATTTGCTCTTATAATCGAGCGCAGAGGGGAAATGCACTCGCTTTTTTCCGTAAAAATGCATTACCGGAAGTCAATTTCGGACTGCTTGCTGTCTGTTTCAATTTGCAACAGCGCACTAGCGCCAGTTGAACCTCTAGCGTACATTATAATAACTTTATGAGCACGACGTGATAAACTTGCGATGTTTCGGAGTCATCGTCTGACGTATCAACATAGATTATCGGACGCTGGTTCTTTTCCTGGCACATTACTTCCAAAGGTCCCGTCTTTGCGCACGCCCGGCATTTCGTATTTCGATACCAGCATCGGTCAGGCACGTGTCCTTTCCCACAGCGATAACAACCGCGATTCGTCTTTGATACGCCTTCCTTCTTTAATCGTGACGCGTGCGTTTCCCGTTTGTTTTCTTTTTCTTTGTTCTTTGATCGTGACGTTCGCGTTTTTCCGCATGTGCTGCCGCTGATAGCGTGAACTTCTGTCGGTCTCGCTTCTACTGTACGCAGCGCGCTGGTTTGCCGCGATGCGAGTTCCTTTTCAAGAGCTATTTTACATGCGCCTTCAAAAGTCAGACCCTCCGTAGCAAACAATATTCTCTGAGTCTCTTCGTCGCGTAAGCCTGCTACCAGGCGGTCTCTCAAAGCTTCATTCAGAAATGCCTTGAATTCACAGTTGCGTGCTAGGTGCTTCAATTCTGTCATAAAATCCTTCACGCTTTCACCTTCTTGTTGCATTCGCCTGTTGAATTTGCAGCGTTCGGCAATTACGGAATACTCCGGACTGAAGTGGTCTTCTAGCAACTCCCGCACGTGCTCGAAAGTTTTGTCGGTGGGCTTCTGTGGAACTAGAATTTGCTTGAGCTTTTCGTAAGCCTGACCACCCACCACGTTCAAGAACAACTTCAGCTTTTTCGCCGCGGGTACTTCGCTGATGTCAACAAAACTTTCAAACCTCTCGAAGTACGACCTAATGTTGTCGCTCTTTGTGTTGAACTCAGACATGCCTCCTAGGCGTTGCTGAGGATGAGACGTTGACATAATGTCGGTCGAAACAGTGCACTTATCTGTTCCGTTGATCTTGCCCTCTCCGTCCCCGTCGTTTCCGTTACGCTTGCTCCTGGCTTCCGCGATGCTGCGTTGTTACTCGACTGGCCGTTGTGCCGAGCTGCCGCCGATGCCGATGCCGCCATGAAATCCCATCTTGGTCGCCAGTTGTTCTATCGTGGCCGAGATACGGAGACCAGACTCATGTCGTAGCGAATCGAACAAGAAGAAGGTTTATTCGTTACGTACTCTCTTTATATAGCCGCTGCTATCAGGGCGATGACGTCATGTTGCTGACGTCAGGGTAGCGTGTTTATCAATACATGACAGTTTCTATCGACAAACGGGCGACAGCCGCTGCAAGTGCTACCCAGGCATCTTGCAATGCCCGTTAAACTTAAACACAGAAACATACACCAATGTTTGCTTAAGGGTAGCATTTACTTGAGCTTCTTCAGTGCATAAAAAATCCAGTTGATGTGAGAGCTAACTTTGGTGAATACCACAGAATGATAGGGTCTCTCCACAGACTCGAAGGAGACGATTCCTACTTGCAATGACTTCCGAGCTTTTTTCAAAACGGCGGGACCACCAGAATCGCCCTAAGATTGAGATAACGAGACAAATTGCACAATTAGCTTGACGTAGCCGGCTGTAAAATCTAAAGAGAAAGCCGAAGAAAGACGACAGTTTTGAAAATCTCTCAAGCCTGAGAGGCCAAGTGTTCTCAAATCCATATTTTCTCTTGCCTCGGTTGTTCCATACATCAATAAGTATTGTAAACGTCTTTTTTTTTTTTTTTTGAAAGGAAAACACATATACTAGTTCGAATCAGTGTTGGCGGTAACGTGTTACTTTTTCGGTAACGTAGAAGCGTACTCGTTACTTTTTGTCTTCACGAGAATTAAGAAAAATTACATCTTATTTTTTCGCGTCTCTAGGCGCCAAGTTATCTGCATTTCTGAGGATTTTCTTAAGTTTAGCTTTATGTTCTTTTTCGTGAAACCGTAAAAAACATAAAGTAATTCACGCCGAGATCCATAACAACAGTCACCCGTTCGATTTGCGTTTGCCCTAACAAGTAGGTGAAGGGTACAACTTCATGGCGTCGGCACCAAGAAAGAGCCCTAGTCTTAAGAGGATGTAGAAGCAAACTATTCGCTCAACACCTGCGCAGTACGTTAGTCAGGTTGCTTTGGAGTACATGTTGCAATCAACAAGAAAATTGACACTCATATAAATCTTAATGTCATCTGCGAACAGCATTATTTCAGCCTTTTTGACATATGATGTTATACCCGTAACAAATGTCAATAAGAGAAGTGACCCAAATATAGACCCCTGTCAGACACCTAAACTTGAACGAAACATTTTAGAGTGGGTGCCAGAAATGCGGACACTATTTGTACGGTATGAGACATAACTTTTAAACCAGATACAAAATGCCGAACAACCACCATTCAAATAAAGCGTGTTCAATAGCACCCTATGGTCACCTTTATCGAATGCTTTCGACATGTCGACGTAAATAGCAACAACATGCCCCTCGTTCAAAACCACAGCTACGAAGTGACTTAAAAAGGAACACTACTACGTTGGTCTCAACCGACCGACCTTTCATGAGCCCTTGCTGCACGGCCGTTAATTCCTGACGAAAATAAAACATAGCACGTTTATACACCAGCTTTTCAAACATCTTCAAAAACCCGAATAATAGCGAAACAGGGCGATAATTACAGACATTTGAAGCATCACCCGCCTTTAATATTGGAACGACAACCGCCTTCTTTTGCAACAATGGAAATACGCTAGAACCCAGCGATAGATTAAAAATATGCTTCAAAATCGGTGCAAGCCAGTCCCCACAAACCTTGAGAACAAGACTTGCAATGATATCTGATTTGGTACATAAATTTGGCTTGAGGTGTCTGGTAACCTCTACGATTTCTTCGTTATCTACTCTAAAACCAGAAAGCGTGTCCTGGAAGGTAATATGAGCGTCACAGGGCAGTGCAACCTGCGGACCGATCGTGTAAATGTTGTCAGCGAAAACATTTGCGACTTCTGCAGATGAGAAGATATAACCAGCATTTTGATCTGTAATGTAAACATTTTCGACGGACATCCGTCTGGTTAGGAATGCTTTATAAAACGTCAACTTGAAACCCTAACCAAGCTTTATTAAATGCAAAAATCCCGACGTTTCGGAACCAACTCGGTCCCTCGATCACGGGCGACTGCTTTTGTCCCACGGAACGGCCTGCCCACGAACCCGAACCCGAACACGAATGTGCACGATTTCGCAGTGCAATTCCCTGTGCACCGTCCCGGGTTTGATGGTTTGCAAACCTGCAAAAGGTTTTGGGGTAGCGATTTAGTCTACGTTCGACACAGGGATGGGCAGTATTTCAAATACAAGTATTTGAAATACGTATTTCAAATACCTTGTGTATTTTGCATTTGTATTTAATTACGAATTGGGTAATGTATTTGACGTGTGTATTTAAATACTAAAACCTACGTATTTTAAATACAATTGTAATTAAATACAATTTTGTGGGCAAAAATACATCCCTCAAATTTATTATGACTGTCCAGAGCAGGAAGAAAACTACGTTCTGCACAGAGTGCATTGTCTCTCAATCAAGCACAAGCGTTTAGTGACTTTGTGATTACGGTGCTAGTCCAGGGCTAGAATAGTGACGAAATTGACGTTCACAGACAGATTGGCTAAATAAGTGTCTGTGACAACTTGTGATGCTTTTCAGCTTGATTTCCATCCATATATTTCCCTGGAACATCCTAAATGTGCGGGTCGTCCGGATTTTCGTAACTGGTGCGAGTTGCAACCATAAAAAATTCTCTAGCTAGTGCTGCGCGTCTTGGTCGTCTCGGTTTTTTGTTGGTCAATACCAAAATTTAATCGACAAAAAAGCTACTTAAAGCTCTGTACTTTCTTCACCTACTACGTCCAAGCTGATTCCATTTTTTTGTGATCATATTTCTATTACGTTACTAGAGCCTTGCACACTAACTCTCGAGTGTGCGATGCAAAATTAAAATGAGATGCCCAGAAACCCGTCGCAGGTGCCCTGAAGTCGCTGACTAAAATTTTGAGGAATGTATTTGGAAAAGTATTTGGAGGAGACGAAATAGATTTGGTTGTATTTGTATCTTGTAATTAAATGCTTTTTGGAAATGTAATTAGATTTGTAATGAAATACATTTTTGACGAAGTATTTTGTATTTGTATTTCGATACATATTTGCATGTATTTTGCCCATCCCTGGTTCGACATTATCAATGTGTAGTCGCTTATCGCGCGAATAGAACTTTTTAGCGGGAGTACGATGAATCCTACATATTGTATACCAGACAGTCAAGCCAGTTTTCCTAAAGCGTTTTTGAAAATTATTTTTATTTCATAGGCACTTTTCCAAATTTTTCGAAAACCAATCACGGCAAATAGGAATCCAAGATATGCGCTTCGGAATAGATGTATTTGGAGTCGTTAACCACCTGAGTAAACTCTGTTGCCAGATCGGCATTATCCATTACTAGAACGTCGTTTCACTTGTAGTTGTGGAAGTGCTTAGACATTCCAAAATAATCGTCTTTAGCGTAACAATAAAAATCGGGTGTCTCCAACACGCGCAGCTTGCAAGAAAAACAGATATCAACCAGAAAATGTGGATTGAACACATCCATTCGCATTGTAGGGGATGAAACTGTTGTAATGTTATCGATCGGAATGTTACAGAGAACAACATCAAGTATATTACCTGCGCTGTTCTGATAGTTGTTTAGCTAATTCAACCCACAAAATGCATAAACAATAGCAGAGCTGGCAGTAATGCAATTACTGCCCTAGCAAAAATAACGGTTTGAAATCAGTCCGGAAAGTGAAATCCGGACTAAGATCAATCCGGAGTCGCACCGGAGAGGCGGCTTCCGGTTCGCACAAACCGTGAATTTTCAAATCCGGTTCAAGGTCAAATTGGAGGAATTCCGGAGAGGCGAATTCCGGTTCGCTCATACCGTGATTTTCCTAATCCGGTTCAAAGTCCAATTGGAGGAATTCCGGACAGGCAAATTCCGGTTCGCTCTAACCGTGAATTTCCTAATCCGGTTCAAAGTCAAATTGGAGGAATTCCGGACAGACAGATTCCAGTTCGCACAAACCGTGATTTTCCCAATCCGCTTCAAAGTCAAATTGGAGGAATTCCAGACAGTCGAATTCCGGTTCACACAAACCGTGATTTTCCTAATTGGTTCGAACAAACCGTGATTTTTGGAGTCCGGTTCAAAGTACAATTGAAGGAATTCTAGACACACAATATGCGGTTCGAACAAACCATTCCTTGTCAAATTCGGTTAAAAAACAAATTGGACAAAGTCTAGACTGAAAATATCCGCTTTGCGCAAACCATACTTTGCCATATCTTTTTCCAAAGAAAATCGGATCAGCCGCCTGATGCCGAAGACTTTCAAGCGTATGGTTGAAATATCGAGTTGCAAACAATCCATCCCGGTACCGTACGTACGGGCTGCTGCGTCGATGAAATTACAGTAATTTAATTACTTGTTCCAGTAATTAGTAATGTAATTCATTACTTTTTGTAGCAGGTAAGTTGGTAATGTAATAAATTACTCCAGCGACGGTAATTGTAATTAAATTACCTAATTACTTTTTCGCACCAGGCATATTTTCTGTGTCCACAATACACAAGAGCACTTTTCTTTTTATTTTACTGTTTCTTTTTCCTCTACGTTTTTCCAAAAAACGCTCTTTGGCCGCCGCTATGTTGCTGATGCTAATGCGGCTGGTGCGACTCTCGCGCCCGCTATCAGCTAGACACTTTCTGCCACTCTTTTGAACTGTGAAAACCCGCTCAGCGCGATTCTCTACCTATGTTTTGCGGTTTTGCATTCGACGTTTTCTGGCCCCTCTTGAAAGTTTCCGCTTACTTTTTCTGATGCATACTGCGTACCCT